GGTGGATCTTCCAATGATGCTCTTTCTCTTTTTGATAAGGTGCATAATCGTAAACATAGTTGGACCTGTTCTTGCAGCCAACCTTTAAACATTGTCACATCTTAATGTTGCTTCTCTTTCTCTTTTCTACAAATACTATGATGGACGCTAGTGTCTCTTGTGCCATCTACTAAAATTCATTCTCATGAACTTATGCATCAATGAAGTCTCATCCCTTTACTGTGACTGTTCTTAAGTTTATTAAGTTACCCCAAACTTACTAAAGAGAAAGAGGTTGATCGCAAATTGAACTTTATTGATATAATCATTAACTCTGTAAATTATAATTTTAATACTTCAAAATTTTACAAAAAAAAATACAGTTTTACAAACTAATTTTAAAAGCTTCACTAATATTAATTATGAACTTAGATTCATTAAAACTCTGATCAATAGGGCCTTCAAAAAACAGCAAGTTTTCATCTAGAAATTGTAAAAATTAAATAAACTCTCCAAAAAACTCTTTTGCCTTCAACTTAATTGACAAAACCTTCAACAATTGACTAAACAATTTTATCTCTCCTAAAGAAAACATGTCATCTCCAAAACCATCTGATATACATTACTTTAAATTCCCTTATATTGGAAAATTTTCAAATACATTTCAACATCAATTAATTAAATACATTTAAAATATTGTAAAGATAATATAAAAGCAAGACTAGTTTTTACAACTTTTAAAATAAGTAGTATGATTTCATCAAAAACCCCTAACCCCCAAATTTAAAATCCTTTGTTGTCTATAAATTTGTTTGCTCCAGCTGTAATGCTGGATATATTGGTGAAAACACCAGACACTACGCAACAACGGTTTCAGAACATTTAAATTCAGATAAGGCATCCTATATTTACAAACATCTTACTTCAACACAAAAATGCAAAAACTCAACTAACTCTTTTTCTATTATTGTCAGAGTTTCTTCATGGTAATTACTTACCTTACAAAATGTAATTATGGTAACAATTGTAAAAATATTAAATTTTTAATGCAGCCAAATAAAATGTTTATATATAGAAATTGTAATTTTTTTTTTTTTACCTGATGATATCAATTAATGTTGATAAAAGATATCAATTAATGTTGTTAAATTTTTTTTTTTTAAATTGTTATTCATTTGAAAATTATATAAATATATGAATATATATATATATATATATATATATATATATATATATATATATATATATATATATATATATATATATATATATATATATATATATATATATATATATATATATATATATATATATATATACATAATTCTTTCATATACATAATTCTTAATAATATAATAACTAATTTTATTAAATTATTAAGAATTATGTATATAAAAGAAACACTAACCTTTAAGAACTATTACATCCATGAATTAATAAAATAACCCACTGTAAAATCAATAAAGTTAACAAAATAAAAACCACGTAATAAAGCAATTTTAAGTAACAAACAATAATATATCTGTCGAACAAGGCACGTGTGTTGTTGTTATTAATATTGCTACGTAAATTTTTTTAAATGTTGTTCGGCAAAATACGCAAGTAAAAATTAATCGCTCCGAATGGGATATGATCTAAACACAACCTTTTCAGAATACTCAATAAGATTTTTTTTGAAACGCATGTTTAACCGATTTGTTTATAATTTTTCGAATTGTTTAGAAGGGTCAAAATTTACTTTTACCGAAAATGGGAGCCACCGTTTAAATTGGGAACCACCGTTTACGGAAAAAAAGATCGCATCGACGTCAATACACAAAGTCTGAAATTAATCTACTTTGGGCTAATTCATAACTTCATCAGCTATGCAAACATTTCATGGGCAAGTACTCAAACATCAAAGCTTAAAAAACTGTATAGTTTGCAAAAACATGCTTGCAGAATCATTTATTAAAAGGATAGGCGTGAACACGCTAAACCCTTAATGAGTGATATAAAAATGATGAATGTGTTTGAAATAAATGTCTATCAGCATTTAATTTTGTATCGTTACAATTACAATATCTCTCCTATAAGCTTTAATAACAAGTTTGAGTTAAATAAAAATGACAGCTATAATCTTAAAGCAAATATGTTGAACACATATAAACTGCCTCGGATAATAAATAAATATTCAGAATATTGCATTTCATATCGAGGTCCTAAAGTATGAAATACCTTTTAAAAAGGATTCAAAGGTACGGTAAATTCGTTAAGTTCATTCAAGTTTATAACACAAAAAGAAATTTTGAAAATTTAAGAAACTTTTTTAGTTAATGTACCACTCTACTTTTTTTTGTTCTTGTTGATGTTGTTTAACAATCTTATTAGCGAATTACGCATTTTATTACGATATTTACTACGGTTTAATTGAAATTTTATTATGTATATATTTTACGAAATGTTTTATGAAATTTTATTACGTATTACGTAATACGATATTTTATTGAAATTTTATAAAAGGGGCTCTATGAAAAGATTGCGATGACGTACTGTCATCCTCATCTTCTTTGAGCCCCTATCTGTTTTTACTTACTTTTTTTTTTATGAAGCACGAAGTTGTAAAATTCTTATGTTATAAAACAGAAAAAAATAAAAAATAAAAAATAAAAAATAAAAAATTGTAACATTACTGCCAAAGTCCATAAGAATTTTTTTGATGGAAATGTATCTATCATATCTACAGCAAATGATGTTTCCCACGATGTCTTACAAAAACTGGAGCAATTCTTCAAGATTGTGGAGTTGATATCGTAAAATGCAAAACCAGTGCTTCAATAGCATTAAGGAAGGTGAAAAAAACTGCCAAAGATACTGCAGAAATTGCTAAATAAGATATAAAGAAGGCCGTGGAAAAAAGCTGCTATCCCTGTATAATTCATTTTGAGGCAAAGACTTTATTTGAAAAGAATAAGTGAAAAAGACTGAAGAATGAAAAATAAGCTGTGCTCGTTAATATTGAAAGGGTATCACATTTTCTTGGAGTACCTGTCTTGCTGTCTTCTTCAGTTGATGATATATATATATAGGAATCATGAAAATACTAGAAGAATATAACCTCATTTCAAAAGTATGTGGAGTATGCTTTGATACAACTTCAAGTAATACTGGTTCTAAGAAAGGATCACTTATAAGGATTGCAAGAGAGGTAGACAAATACATTCTTCTACTAGCATGTAGGCATCATATGATTGAGCTTAGAATGGTTCATTTCTGTGAAGCAGTGATAAAAGAGAATAGCGTAAGGCCTGAAAATTCTTTATTCGTAAACTTCAAACATATGTTTGAGAACCCTAAATTCAAATACGACAAAAAAAAACTGACCTTTTTTGATTAGAAAATCATGGAAGAAACAGTTTTTAAGGAAGCTGCAAGGAAAACTTTAGATTACTGTGAGATCTATATTACTAAAAAACGCAATATGAGGAATGATCGAAGAAAGTTGGCTGAACTAACCATGCGGTACTTATCCCTTTCTGCATTTTAAACTAAAGATAACTGAAGCTGTTCATCATGCTAGGTTTTTAAGCAAGAGTTTATATTTCCTTAAACTTTAGCTTTTGTGCAAGCAACTGACATTTGTGCAAGAAAATGATAATCTACGCAAAGATTTGAAACTCATCTGCGAGTTTATAGTATGTTTTTACACAGGATGGTACCTTCAAGCACATAAAGCAATTCAATCTCCTGCGTCTGATTTAATGCTAGATAAAAAAAGTATGAGAAAGTTTGCTCCAATCCGGAGGCAGTAGGTCCTGTGTTAGCATTTCTTTATAAGCATACATGGTATCTTGATTCAACGATTATTCACTTGGCTTTTTTGGATAAAAATATCTTCATAAATAAATTTTAGGGCCCTGCGAATTGGCAGTTTTTGTTTCGAATTGAATCTTGAATCAAAGCAGGTCTTGATTTGCGATTCGAATCACGTTTCGAATCAACATTTTGTCATTTAAGTCTAAACTTAAGCATTTTTTATTTAATAATATAAATTTCAAAATAAAATAAAATAAAGCAATTGTATAATCTCTTTATTGATGCTTTTTGCCCTGGTTAACTTTTTTAATGACTGATTAAAAAGGTATTTAAGAATAAGTAACGTTATTTTGATAGCGCCAAAGCGCAGAATATCTTCTGATGATGTAAACAGAATTACTCATTAAATTATAACACACTGGTTACTAGTCCTCTTTAATAACATGTAAATATGGAGATAACGTTTTAAAATCAAAAATGCATGTAGATCAAGTGTGCAATTTTTCCCTATTGTTTATTTTTCTTTAAGTTATGAATAAATTTTTAAACCTGTAAGTTTATTTATACTTAGCTGGTAAAAAGTTTACTGTTGTTTATAATGTTTCTAATGTTTCCATTGGCGCTGTTGCTGTGATGGCTTTACAACAGGTAGGCGTAAAAATACCAATTAACTCTTGCGTTGGTAACACAAAGAAGGTGAGAATAAAAGAAATATGGAAATTTTAGCCCAGATTTAATAAACCAGGGGAAATGGTCTTTAAAAAGGGTGGGTGGGAATCTTTTACAAAAGACGAATGAACAATTTAATTCCAGTGAGGCTTGCGGTCAAATGCGCATTTTTCAATTGCTTTTTCATCATAATTTTAAAAGGATTTAATACACTTATATAAGTTTTATACTTTAGTGAGAAATAAACAAAAATCTAATTTTTGACAAATCGAGATTTACGAGTTTTTTTAAAGGTCGACATTTTTTAAAACATAATTACACTGAAAGTTTTTATACATTGATTAATATAGTTTCTAATATTTTTTTAAGTTTTGAGATTTTACTTTTTTGTTGATAACAAGTAGTGATTAAAAAAGAGGGGTTATGGTGATACGGTCTTATTAAGTTGGGGTGGGTGGTAAAAGTTTCCGAAAAATAATAAACGTCCCTTCCGCGGATTAAGGATTTAAGAGCAATCGTAATAATAGATAAAAGACTGACAAAATAAAAACTTGTTATTCTATTTAAATAACATTTTTCTAACTATTATTTTTAAACAAGAATGGTAATTACAATTAATTACATTAATTAATGCATCACATGTTCTTTGGAATTTTGAACCACTCGTCATCAATATTTTTTGGATAACCTTTCATTAAACCACCATTTTGATTAACTCGATAAAATTGCAAACCTAATTTTGAGTAAGAAGTTTTTCAAAATCAAAACTTTATGCTATTACTTATTTATAAAAATTACGTAGTTTGTTACATAATTGCACTTAAGGTAATAAATAAAAGCTTTAAATTTAATCTTTGGTTGAGATCATTAAATGGCAAACTTACTACTCATCTCTCATAGTTTTTTTTTATATTTTCTTCAACTTCACAAGATATTTTTACTAATATTTAAAAATTATCACGTGATAGTTATGATGGGATAATTTTACCTTTAAAAAAGTAGATGCCTCCATTACGCCAAACAAAAACGGAGTCAATATTTGTAGGCACTTTCCAGTATTCAGCTATTTTCTTGGGTGACGATGATTCAATTGTTTTTTGTTTGGAACTATATTGATAGTAATCATTACCAGAAAATAGATAAGTAGTTCCATTACCTGCAACAAATGCCCCATCAATTTTTTCAACATTTTTTTTAATTCCTTTAAACAAGTCAAATACGGAACCACTTTCAATAAAGTTTCTATTTGCAAAACTGTCAAACATATAATATCTAAAAAGATTTATTTATTGGATTATTAAAAAAACATTTGTAAAGTTATGCAAATATACATGACAAAAAAGTATTTAAATTATGAAAAAAAATAAAAAAACGTGATTATTTTATAAAAACATACTTGGTTCCCTGAAAAAAGACCAATTTTTTTTCACGATTTATGAACCCTCCATTAACGTAAGTGATCTTTGTTAATAATTCAGAAACATTAAAAGGTCCATACGTTTCGTTTAAATTTATGCTTAGCTTGTAATACTTATCTTCGTTGAATACATAAGTAATTCCAGTTAATTGGTCTAAGATGATAGCTTGAACTTTGATATGATTCTTTGAAGTTGTTAAATGTGTTTTACTTTGTGTGACTTGTGTATTGTTTGTGTTTGCTGTTTTTTTTGAGGGTAATATAGGTTTTCGTTTTGATCCTAAATTAAAAATTTTTCAACAAAACAAAATATTTTTTTTTTAAATTAATTATATAATTAACGATAAATCGTTTTACATCTATCAATTATTGCAGTTACATAAAAGTAAAACTTAAATTAATTTATTAAAAACTCAAGTTCAAACTTGAGTTTTTAATAAATTAAATTAAAGTTTAAGATTCCAGTAAAAAAGGTTTAATGTAATACTTAACTTTAAAATGGGATTAAATTAATCAATTAAGAAAGAAAAATAGTATATAAAGAGGTAATTTGCAAGATATTTTTATTTACTGTTTCTTTAAACAATTTTTTTTTATTTAATAAATTTTCCTATGAGACATACTTACCATACATACTCTGTATTCCTAAGATATCGTCTTCATGTAGCTGGATATTTTGCTCTTTATTTCCTAGATAAGTAGGGTACATAAGAGAACCTTGGAAACTTGAATGGTGTAACCCTAAACTGTGTCCAATCTCGTGAATAGCAGCCCAAAATAAGTTAACACCATTTTTTTCTTTAACATTAAAGTTAAAAATGTCGTTGAAATGAACATCACCAGAAATGCCTAATGAAGAAAGTTTATTGAAATCAAACATTATAAGATTGCGCAAAAATAAAATAGTACTATATTTGCTCAAATAATAAAATTGTTACCTTGATTGTTTAAAGGGTAAAATGCATGAGCCAAATCATAACGAAAAAGTCGAAACGAAAAAGCATCACCATGATCACCTTGTACAAATTTAATATCTATATCTGCTTGTTCTTTACTTGTAAAACTGAGTTTGTTAAACGTTAAGTCTGCAATAGCCTCCCACTTCTGAAAGGCTTTTTCAAGTAAAGTTTCCACCTCTTTGCGTGATAACCCATCATTATTATCGTTTAAAAGTTTCCACGTAATGTTCTAAAAATAATTTTAAATAGATTTTAAATAAAATAATTTTTTTTTTTTAATTTTATTTAAAATCTATTTAAATAAAATATTTTAAATATTGTGCTTTTAGCACAAATTTTTAAAAATTTGTGCTAAAAGCAGCTTTTCGTAACAGGGATAAAATACCAAATATTTACTTTAATACTGACATGACTGAAGCAGAAAGAATTTTAACGAAGCAATTAAGATCTGAAGTAAAAATTTTAAACGGAAATTCAGACATGAACAATAGCTCATTTTATTATGGTATAAGAAGTAATAAAGTAGTAAAACTGACTAAAAAAACATAGCAATTTGAGTATAAAGTGGCAAAAAAAATAAGTAACATTCTAATGTTTAAAAGAACTGTAACCGGTATCCAAGATTTTAAAATTAAAATAAATGATAATGCACAAAAGCCAGTTATAAGTACTGGATACAACTCAAATAGTTTGAAATATTTATATACCAATGCTACATCATTTGAAAAAAATAAATTAAATGAAGTTATAGCTGAAATTGAAATAAGCTCTCCAGATATAATTTTCATAACAGAAACATGGTGGAATGATACTTCAGCAACAATTATACCTGGTTATAACCTTTATCGCAGAGACCGAATGAATAGCAGAGGCGGTGGAGTCTGTATTTATGTAAATGACTTAATTGATTCATTTGAAGTTAATAATGAACCCTATAATAATAAAAATGTTGAGAAGATATGGTGTACCATTAAAATGAGCAATGAATGCATATTATGTGGCTGTATTTATAGACCAGGAAGTGATGATTTAGTAACTTTCAAAATGTAATCAATTCTATTAAAGAAAGTTACAATTACTTCTCAAAAACTAAAATATATACTGAGGTTTTGATATGTGGTGACTTCAATTTTCCATCCTTGAATAGTATATGGAATTCTTGTTATGAAAGTGTCTGCATTGGAGAAAAAGAGAGACAGTTTCTAGAATGCATTGAAGAATGTTATCTCACACAACATGTAAAAAAACCAACATTTCAATTAAATGACACAAAATTAATAAATATATTAGATTTAGTATTTACTGCTTCTCCTTTTCGCATATCCAGCTTGGTACATATGGATCCTTTGGGGAAAACAAAAAGAGGTCATCATGTTTTAAATTTTAATTTTAATTATCAATTACATAATCGCAAAAATGAAAGTATTACTACAAAGCGAGTATACATGAAAGGAAATTATCATGAATTTTCAAAATATTTAAATAAATTTAACTGGAGTCATGAGTTTACTGGACTTAATGTTGATCAGTGTTATGAAAGTTTTATTAGAACTATTGAATACGGCTGTAAAGATTTCATACCGTCATTTAATCAAAAAACAACTGAAACCAAAAGATCCTTATGGATGAATAAAGAATTAAAACACGAAATTCGACTTAAGCGTAACCTTTGGTATCGATACAAAGCCTCTCATTTCAAAAATTTAGATCTTAAGGAAGAATATAAACTAAAAAATAAGTTAGTTAAAAAACTTGTAAAGATTACAATACAAAAATATGAAAATAAAATTGCAACAAAATCAAAAAAAAAAATCCAAAACAAGTTTATGCTTATATTAACAGTAAATTAAAAGCTAAAGACCATATAAGAGCAATTTCAATTGAAAACAATGAAATATCAACTGACAGTCAAGTTATTGCTAATCAGTTAAATCGGTTTTTCAATTCTGTATTCATAAACGAAAGCCTAACTAATATGCCTACATGTGAAAATATAATAGAAAAAATTTGCCCAACCCCATTGTTTAATGAGAAAGATGTTAAAAAACGATTATTGAATCTAAATGTGCACAAGTCCCCAGGTATCAATAGAATTCATCTAATGTTTTTAAGTAAGTGTGCTGACAGTTTAGCTAGACCACTCTGTATGATATTTAACCAATCATTTCTAACTGGAACATTGCCTACAAGCTGGTTAAAAGCAAATATCACTCCAATTTTTAAAAATGGGGATAGGTTGAATGCAGGTAACTATAGTGCACAAGTCCCCAGGTATCGATAGAATTCATCTAATGTTTTTAAGTAAGTGTGCTGACAGTTTAGCTAGACCACTCTGTATGATATTTAACCAATCATTTCTAACTGGAACATTGCCTACAAGCTGGTTAAAAGCAAATATCACTCCAATTTTTAAAAATGGGGATAGGTTGAATGCAGGTAACTATCATCCAATTTCATTGACCTCTGTTGTTTGTAAAGTAATGGAAAGTATTGTTAAGGATACAATAATGAACCATTTAAATAAAAATAAGTTATTAATACCAGAACAACACGGATTCATTAAATCAAAAAATTGTGTAACAAACCTTCTCGAGACATTAGACATAATAACAGAAGCAATAAATTGTGAAAAATGTGTTGATGTTGCCTTTTTAGATTTTTCTAAGGCATTTGATTCAGTTCCGCATTCCAGGCTGCTCTTAAAACTTAAGTCATTTGGTATTGCCGGAAAATTGTTGCAATGGTGTAAAGCTTTTTTAGCAAATCGAAAACAGAGAGTTGTTTTGGGACTGTTTGAATCAGAATGGGAAACAGTTCGTAGTGGGGTACCACAAGGTTCGGTCTTAGGACCCTTACTTTTTATAATTTATATAAATGATTTAACAAAAAAGTTGAATAATAAAGCAAAACTATATGCAGACGATTTAAAAATAATTGCAGTTCTAGAAAAAAATAAAATAAATAACTCTCTACAGTTGGATCTTGACATCTTATTTAACTGGACTAAAAGATGGCTTATCAGTTTTAATAAAGATAAATGTAAAATCATGCATTTTGGTCGTGATAATCCGAAAATAAAGTATAATTTAAAATATAATGCTACAGAAACAGAGATTATTCAACATGGACTAATAGTAACGTCATTGGAAAGAGACCTTGGTGTTTATATTTCAGACAGTTTAAAATGGGAAGACCACATTGAAAAAATGGTAAGTAAGGCGAATCAAAAATTGGGTATGTTAAAGCACGCAATCCTTTATCCAGATGAAACATCAAAAAAATTGTTATATATGTCACTCGTTCGGCCACACTTAGAATATGCTTTTCAAGTGTGGAACCCATATTTTATTAAAGATATAAACTTAATAGAAAAAATTCAGCAAAAAGCTACGAAATTTGGCTAAAAAAAAAAGAAAGACAGTTACGAGCAAAGATTAGAGAAAATGGATTTACAAAATCTATCAAAGAGATGGGAAAAAGGTGATCTTATCCAAATGTACAAATTCATGAACAAAATTGATACTATCAATTGGCATCGTGAACCAGAAGTATTGGGTAGGCTAACTAGAGGACACAATCAAAGGTTGCGAAGGCAGTATGTTCAAAACCTTTTGCCTAGGCATTATTTCTTCACTAACCGTATAGTTGAAAATTGGAATCGTTTGGACAGTGAAGTTGTTAACGCTAATTCAGTAATTGATTTTAAAAATAAACTTAAAAAGTTTAGCGAAAAACAGTTGTTAAAATCTAACATCTACAGTTGTTAGATTCTTTCTTGAAACTCTTAAGAACACAGCTTTAATTATTATTATTATTATTATTATTATTATCGTTTAAAAGTTTCCACCTAATGTTCTAAAAATAATTTTAAATAGATTTTAAATAAAACTTTATTTTTTCTAAGACAAAAATAAAACCAACTTACATTTTTTCTCCACTTGGTTCCATGAAGAGTAAACCTCCTTTTTCTAGTAACCTTATCATCAAGAATATCTTTTAATCCACATCGAGGTTTTTTCATTATTTCCTTTGTAGTTTTATCTATCACTCCTGTGACAGGTAATCCTAAAAATTTTTGAAAACTTTCGATCGAATTTTGAACTTCTTTTTTGCCTGACATTGAACCTAGGTCTTTGTTGTTTTTTTTGTAATAACCATAATCACTGAGATAATCCTTTTTAATAGAAATTTATAATTATATACATACACACACGTATATAGTAACTCTCTTTATATATATATATATATATATATATATATATATATATATATATATATATATATATATATATATATATATATATATATATATATATATATATGTATGTATATATATATATATATAAAGAGATAATTTTTTACAAATAGCGTTATAAAATTAAAATTACCAATTCATTTTCCAGGACATCTCCTTGTGATACTGCAGCAATTGATAAAAAAAGTAGCAAGTATGATATATTCATTTTTGTTATGAAACGAATAGACGAATAGATGTTTTTAATTTAAAAAAATGAGTCCATGTTTAAAAAGTTTGACTTATATAGGCATTTTATTTACTGTTTTATTGATTTTAGTTCATCATAGTAAATGTCAAATATTTAAGTGATGTTAAAGAAAACTTGTTTTACTTGTTTTAACTAATAGACGGTTTGAGTATAACTTAATGACAGCCTTAACTATTGACATACTTCATCAGTTGAAAGTGATAAATATTTGCTCTTGAATTTAGGATTTTTTACATGGTAAAGCAATTCATGCTGAAAAACAGTTTTCTCAGTTTATATATATATATATATATATATATATGTATATATATATATATATATATATATATATATATATATATATATATATATATATGTATATATATATATATATATATATGTATATATATATATATATGATATATATATATTATATATATATATATATATATATATATATATATATATATATATATATATATATATATATATAAATACACACACACACACATATATATATATATATATATATATATATATATATATATATATATATATATATATATATATATATATATATATAAATACACACACACACACACACACATATATATATATATATATATATATATATATATATATATATATATATATATATATATATATATATATATATATATATATATATATATATATATATATATATATATATATATACATACATACATACATATGTATAAACCCTTTTGCTTTGACGAACTAAATATTATTTTCGTCTAATAAGCTTGTTTTTATTCTATTATATCTTATTCCATTCTTATTTTTTTTTGTTTGATAAGAGGTAGCGGTTACCGGCATTTTCAAATTTTTTATCTACTAAGAGTAAAAGTGTATAGTATAAAGTAGGTTATTGTTAAGAATATTAAAAAGTTTAACAGGTAATTGATTATACGTAACTATATGAATAGTTTTCATGCTTATAATTTAGACTTTTCATATAATTTACCTTTTCGATTGATAGAAATCTGATTTCTTTATAAAATTAGTTATCTTTATTTACCAACACTTCGGTATAATTATCTCCTTACATGCTTCTTATATGATTACACTAAATGCTGCACCTAATTTTAGAAAAATACTTGCAGCTAGTATTGCTTTTGAAAATAGATTATTACTATTTTATATAAGACATAACTTATTGCGCAAAACTAATTAACTGTAATGGAATCACTATATTAAAAAAGTTATTGAAAACAAGTCCGCATCATTAAAAAAGTTATTAAAAAAATTAAAAACAATACAAAAGTATAAAACTGTCCGGGCTTTTATATAATTTAGATGATTAGAAAAAACAGAAATAAAGAGCAATAACTTTAAATTTAAGATGTTCAAGCTTTCAATCTTTCACACTCGTAACTTTGATTAGACATTCGATACTTTTAAAGTTTACTTTGACCCTTGCAGTTTTTCTACAAAGAATTCAGACAATCGTTTTGCAAAATTTTTTTTAAATTGCTGATATTTTGATATCATGCATTTGCTTAAGATTTTGAAGTAACTGTCACTTTTACTATTTTTCTAATTTTAGGTTTCTTTTAATTAATGCAAATCACAGTAAAGTTTATCTAACTGTTTATTAAATCTGTTGAATTTAAAATAATATTTGTTCGTGATTTCATACTGAAGCCAAAAAAAGCATTTTAATCACAAACTTAATCATTTCGTGTTTGTTAAGTATCAATTTTTTTGTCTATGGAAGTCTGGGAAAGTTTTAAGAGCTATAAAACAATTTTGTTTAAACATTACTCCATGTTGTAATTTGTTATATATATAAATATATATATATAATATATATATGTTGTAATTTGTTATATATATAAAATATACATATATGTTATATATATAATTTACTCCATGTTGTAATTTGTTATATATATAAATATATATATATAATATATATATATTATATATATATATTTATATATATAACAAATTACAACATATATATTATATATAAACAACATATATATATATGTTGTTTATATATAATATATATGTTGTAATTTGTTATATATATAAATATATATATATATATATATATATATATATATATATATATATATATATATATATATATATATATATATATATATATATATATGTATATATATGTATATATATACATATATATATACATGGAGACTCTAAACATTTATGTGTTTATAATAATGTCAAATAAAGATGTTTTGTAAAAAACAGCGATAATTCGATCTGGAAACAAAAAAGCCCTAAAATTTAGGCACCATCTGCCCCAAATGTGAGAGCTACAAGTTGATGAAATATTTTTTTAACTATTTGCAACTAGACTTATATTCATTAATAAATTTTAAATTTAATAGCAAAGTATTTTAATGTTCAAAAAATATGACTGTATAAAGTTTAAACCCCTCTCATTTTGAAGGGGTTGGAAATTTTATATGGAATTTTTCAAATGCTAAGAAATTATACTATTAAACTTAATATTTCTCAATGAATATAAGTCTAGTTAAAAATATTTTACGAGAAATATATTTTTTCAACTTGTTGCTCTCACGTTTGGGGCAGGGGGGCTAAAATTTTAGGGCTATTTTGTTCCCAGGCTCCAATCATTGCAATTTTTTTTGCAAAGCATCCTTTTTTGACATAAGTATAAACATGTAAATGTTTGGAGTATGCTCCATGTCTGGAAGTTAGATATTTCGAAGACCAAAAAATGCTAGCGCCACCCCTTAATATATATATATATATATATATATATATATATATATATATATATATATATATATATATATATATATATATATATATATATATATATATATATATATATATATATATATATATATATATATATATGAAAAATGTAAAACACTATAAAATAAATTTGCGTTTTACATTTTAAAACGTTGGCAGTTTAATTTTCCATTTGAAAAAAAATAAGAAAATCTTTAAAGTGTTTCTTTATGTACTTTTTATACTTCAAATGAAAGTCTAAAATGTACATAAAGAAACAATGTTTTTAAGTTTATCTATATCTATTTCTATCTTAATTTTATCTATTTCTAAATTAATCTATAAAAGCTTTATAGATTTATAGATAAATTTTAAAACATTGTCATAGAAATAAATTACTTTTCTATAGGAAATAACTTTCTAAGAAATAACATGTAACCACGGAAAAATATTGCTTATTTACCGCCTTTATCAATTTTTGCTGATAAAACCGGTAAATAAGCTAATTTTTCAATCTCTAGCGGATTTTAACTATAATCCATATTAAAAGTATGAGCCTCAGTAGCCAAAAATATAAACAATATCAATATAAAAGTTTTTTTAGCACTCCTATTGCTTATAGAAAATTTCTAGTTAAAAATGAACAAATACTTTTTTTTACAGGTACTTTTATGATGTCATGTCTGTTATGTCAGTTTTAACTGGTATATCAGGTTACTAATATATACACAAAATTACGTCTTACGCATTCGCTACTTACATAACGCTATTTTCTAAGCTTACCGTTATATAATCATTATGCCATCATTAAAATATTTTGCTGCGTATCTAAAGATATCTTTCAGTGATTTGTTAAATGAAACAATTAACTTTTTAACAATTACTTAAAGATTTCAATGTTAGTTAGGGTAGATTAGTGTATTATGACCACCTTAGGCGAAAATTGGAATATTTTCAAAAATAGTTATGCTGGATCTAATATTTTTGTGAATAAACAATTTTAGGGACCACTTCCTATGATCCACTTAAATATTTAGGCACCCGAAGTTTTTCTTAAAGACAGAGAGGTTTCAAAAAAGTAGCGAAAAAGCTTATATTACCCAGACCACTTGGTTATATGAACACTTTAAATTAACTCAAAAAATAACATTAACTAGGTAAAAAAATACAAATCTGTAGCCGTATTCACATCTCTCCGCTAAACTAAGGGAGAATTTGAGTGTCTGTTAAAAAAAATTCTTAACGGCCGGTTATAAAACGGCCAAAAATAAATGGCATTCTAATTCTTCCGGTTTATTAATCACTCCAATAATTTTTTTAGATAAAATTCCTCTGTTAGTCAGCTCCGTTAACTAGGTTTTGTGCTGTTTTTCTCATCGAATTTAAACGATGCGATGCCAGCAGACAAAGAATCTGTTTAATTAGTAAATCGCAGCCTGTGATTTTTTAAAACATAATTGCCGATAATAAATTGGGGAAAAGTATACTAATTTTAGACAATTTGTGTTTACATATAGACGAACTTCGTTAATCAGACCAATAGTCTATTTAACTTTTTATTTTATGATAAAAGTAATGCTTTGTTTTTTTAACGTTTTATGTGAGTATATTTTCTCTAAAACACTAATTTATCATACTAAATACAAAATTCATGTTTTCATAAAGCTGGGTAATACTATTGCTGGAAAGAAATAGATTGGTATCATCTGCAAACATAATTGGGTATAATTTTTCGATGCATTATTTAAGTTGTTTATGTAAACTAAAAATATAAAAAGTTCTGAACGGAGTATCTTGTGGTATTCCACACGTTATTTTAATTATTTCATATTTCTTATTTAGAACATATTGTTTCCAATCTGTTTAACTTTTAATACAATTGTTGACATTATAAACGCCTCTAACGCCCTATAAAAACCCTAAAACGCCTCAACTTTTTTTAATAAAATATAATAATTAACAGGTTCAAACGTTTTTAATAAGTTTATAAATAAACCTTATATAGTTGTTGTTGTTAAAGCCATTATTTATTTGATCACTGATTTAGATGCATGCGTGTTCAATAAAATGATTTTTATTAAATCTAAAATGTTTTAAATAGTTATGTTGATTGAGAATTTTAAATTGATCAAAAGCTAGATTCTTATATATCATTAAAAAGGGCTTCAATACAGTATTTTAAAGGTGCAAAAATTATTAAAATCAAACTATTCTACAAAAAGTTATGAGGTTTTTAGTCGCAAATTTTTGATATATGGATTTGTTTTTTTTGTTTTTTTTTTTTTAATTTTTTATTTTTCGTCAATTGACACATTTTACAATGTTAACCTTACATTCAAATAAATTTATCCAAATG